TCTAGTTTGCCTTTAACTCAAAGAATCCTAAGAGGTAAGTTGGGAAACCAGCTCAGATTGGGGTGTGGGTATAGCAAGTGGCTAGCTGTGGGGGCTCCAACACCCAGCTCTTCCCCTTCCTAGCTGAAGGACATTGAACAGGTTCCCCAACCTCTCTGAGCCTCAGTTTTGTCATGCGTCAAAGGAAAAGGAAAAAGAAGCCTTAAAGAATAAGGAAGCCATAAAGGTCTATGTAAAAGACCACATATTGTGAGTTTCTATTGTTAAGACATATCCAGAAGAGGTGAATCCATGGAGACAGAAAACGGATTGGGAGGGGCAGGTAGCAGGTCAGAATGGGGGGGGGGGGACTGCTTAATGGTTAAAGGTCTATGGTTTTAGGTCTATGCCTAAAGGTTTATGCCTCGGAGGTCATAAACATGTTCTGGAACTGGAGAGCGGTGGTGGCGCAACACTGAATGTACTAAATGCTACTGACTCGTTCACTTTAAATTTTTTTTTTTCAACGTTTATTTATTTTTGGGACAGAGAGAGACAGAGCATGAACGGGGGAGGGGCAGAGAGAGGGAGACACATAATCGGAAACAGGCTCCAGGCTCTGAGCCATCAGCCCAGAGCCTGACGCGGGGTTCGAACTCACGGACCATGAGATCGTGACCTGGCTGAAGTCGGACGCTTAACCGACTGCGCCACCCAGGCGCCCCTAACTCGTTCACTTTAAAATGGTTAGCTTTATGTGATGGGAATTTCACCTCAATAAAAAGCACTAGCTGTAACTTGGGCGACTGAGAATTAAATGGGAGGGCAAATGCAGAGGACTCAACACCAGGCAAGGCACAAAGGAAGTGCTTGGTGAATAGTAGTTACTATTATTAATATTGGGCTGCCCCAGATGCCTGGAAATGCGCGACTGGAGCTCAGCAGTGTCTGCCCTCTCCTGAGTGGGACCAGAAACTGCAGTGCACAAATACTCCCTTAGCATCGACTGTGCACAAAACACTGTGTTAGGCCCTGATAGGGCGACTCATCCTGTTTTCCAGGGACTCAACCAGGGACTTTCCTGATTTGAAAACAGGAAGCTCCAAGTACCAAGAACCCTTCATTCCCTGGAAAACTAGGACAACTGGTCACCTTAAAGCACTGATGTAGTATGGGTTATGTGGGTGGGGAGGTCAAGGACAACTGAGATTCAAAAGAGTAAGGGGCACCTGGCTGGCTCAGTCGGTAGAGCATACAACTCTTGATGTTGGATTCTTGATCTTGAGGTTTGAGTTTGAGCCCCA